CCAAAAAAAAAAAAAAAAAAAAGAGTCGAGCCTCGATTAAGGGGAGACCTACTTTGTTCGAGGAGAGGTGTTGGATAAAAGTCCCACATCGGCTAATCTAGGGAATGATCGTGGGTTTATAATCAAGGAATACTATTCCCATTGACACGTATTAGTCACTTGTTGTCACGATAGGTATGTGTCTGGTACGAGTTGTATAAAGTCAAAATCGAACATTCGTTAGGTTTAGTAGTCATACCAAACACATAGGAACTAGACGTGTCGTATCTGTGTCTTGTATCAGTATCTATTATTCTAAGTCCTTGCACGAGCCTCGAGTTTTCCGAGTCCTTGCACGCACAATCACGAGCAAAAACGCGTTGATAACTTGTTTTGTTTTGTAATATAGGAGCAAGAATGTTTTACAACACTCAAGACATGCTATGGAGGAGGAAACTAGAGGAACAAGCTCTTGAGCTTCAAGCTTTAAGAGTAATGAGTTTGCAACTTTCTGATGTTAAAAAGCCTCACCATCAGCAAACTCCTCTTCCAATTTGCAGCCCAATTCCTTCCCCTACTAACTCTCCTAATCCCTTCAATCAAGCCCTTCTTTTCCATTCAATTCCAACAAGCTCACAACTCCTCCAAGGTACATAATGTTCTCTTTGTTGCATTGTCATGTTTGATTATCACTAGTTCGTGTTCGTTCTAGCTCGGTAATCCTCTTGTTGTTTGTAGAGAACGGCTCGAACCACTTGCCCGAGGTTCACCTTGAGCCACGAGTGATGATCAATTCAAATTCGACAGCTGATAGTGATAGTAGCAATGACAAGGAAACCGACTTGCAAGAAACTAGGTACTATAAGGTTCTATCTAGTGGTTGTTTTTTTTATATTTTGTTTCTTTGTTAGAAGAGACATGAAAGCGTGTTTGTCTGGATTGTCGATGATCGTTTTATGTTTTTTGATTCGACCGTTGATGTGTTTCGTTGTCTTTTTAAGCACTTTTGAACACGTTTTCAAAATTTGAGCTTAAAAACTAAAAAAAAACTGAAATCCCACGGCTGGAGAGAGGAATGAGTGCTAGCTAGGATGCTGGGCCCCGAAGGTGGGTGGATTGTGAGATCCCGCATCGGTTGGGGAGGAGAACGAAACATTGTTTATAAGGGTGTGAAAATCTTCCCATAACAGACGTGTTTTAAAAACCTTGAGAGAAGACTCGAAAAGGAAAGCCCAAGAGAACAATATCGGCTAGTAGCGGTGAGCTTGGACGGTTACAAACACCGTTTTTTAAAAACTCATTATTGTTTTGTTGCAGTTTGGAGCATAATCTCCCTGACAGTCCCTTCGCCACGGCATCGTACACGCCAAGTGGCATCGAGGTCGACGAATCAGATGCGTCAACCGACAATCATTCTGCAGCTTCATCCTTCGCTTCGACACCAAACCTCGGCGCACCCTTCAAATCCTTCAACTGCCAGTAGGCCACTTTTCCATGTCTTGAGGCTTATGATATTCTAAGCTACCATTTCTTACGGATACTGAGATTAGTACATCAATTTTCAGGTACCCTTCTGGCCATGGAGCCATCGGGTTGTATGCAAGCACGGGCGGACCGACATGTCGAGTCGGGATTTAGCTGATCATGTAAGTTCTTCTACGTTCTTCATTTCTCTTCCCTTAGCTCAAGAAATGGCATTGGAAACAAACTCAAACCATTTTGTTGTGTTCTACAGAAATTTCAAGAAGTGTCTTAAGAGAGCCCACAGTACGAAGGATCTAAGAATTACCACAGGAATAGCATTTAAAATAACAGTAAAAAGAGACAGAGACATTGATTGACATGAAGTTTTGACTGTTTGGGCACTGTAATTCTCTTACCAATGTAAATTATTAATCTTACAAGGTGAATTCATAAGCCAACATGGTCAAAATTCAGTCATCTTTGTATATGAGAAGTGTTAATGATAAAATTGGATGATCTTAGAAATATTGGTAAATTTGATATTAGTAATTGTAATATTTTGAAATTATTAATTCATGTTTATTATCTCTAATTATATTTAATTTATCTATCCAATAACAATATATATATTTTTAAAGGTTAGATTTGAGACTGTTCGAGATTGTTTACAAAATTCGATTTTAACACGATTGACTTGTTTCTTAATTATAACAAATGTCTCATAATGTGTACTGTTCTTAAGTGTGACATATAACTACCTAATATCTAAGTAATTTTGTGGTTAATGTAAAGTAAAAGGGAGTAAAATTAAAGTAAAAGATGAAACACTAGGTAGAAAAATGAGAAAATTTTAGGGAGAATGTTTTCACGAGCATCACGAGAACTAATGTCGGAAAGACTTTGAATTAATAGAGTTCAAATAAAAAATAAAATATTGAATAAATAGTTGAAATTAGGGGTGTACACTCGACCCGCCAACTCGAAGGTTTGGGTTGGGTTTAAAAGGACTTCAAGTTCGGGTTGGATTCATTTTTTTGGAATTCGATCCAGTTTGGGTTGGGCTCGGGTTCAAATTTTAAATTATTGGGACAACCCAACCCAACCCGAAAACCATAAAAAAGCCCAAGCCCACGCAGCCCATCAGTCATGTTGCCACGACGTACATGCACCGTTCAATGTGCATACTTTCTCTCCCTCTCCTTCAATTCGGATTAATTATTATAATTGTCTCTCACTTGTTAGCATACTTTCACCCTCCTCATCTATCTCATGCTCATCTTAATGGTTCATCTTTTCCTCTGAGGTCGTTCTCATCTCGGACGTCGATCTAGCTCGCTGGTCACCTCTTTATTTCTCTGTTAGCCTCTTTTCTCAATTCCCATTTCTCCACTCGACTTTGTCATAGGATCATGGAAGATTCTTTTTTGCACAAGCTCTCCATATAAGCAAGGGAAGCTGGTTTCCGAGTTGATCTTGATCCATTACATTGTTCAAACTCACAACAACATGAGTTTGGAATATCACGAAGACTCGGAGGATATTCTCGGAAAGATGAATGGTTTCAAGTGAAATACAAGCAGAACATGTACGATATCAGTGTTATGTCGAGAATGTTGTCTTCAAGAGGCGTTATATGGGAAGTTATTCGACTCAATATTCTTTAATTTTTATGTGGTTTCCATTGACGTTGGGAATGCAACTTAATGTTGCCCCCAAAGAAATGGACTTGGTATTTTTCTGACTCAGACAACGACAATAACCACTATTTACAAGTTTAGGACTTGCAAGATGACAGTTTGTTGTTCGGCTCCGACCAGTAAATATAGATGATAATAGGTCCTTTTTGGACCAAAGTGCACTAGTCTAGTAAAATGTTAGTGTCCTCGGTTGGGATGAGAACTAAACGGAAAAGATTGCCAGTCAAAAGAGGAGATGAAGAAAAGTCATTTCAATAGTTTAACGGAGTTGCTATGATTATATGAAAGATGGACTTGTTTTTTTTGAGTGTTAACGTTAATAATTTTGATCTCTAAGTTTTTTGGTGCATAAAACATTACACAATTAGTAAAAGTACTCTTAACTTATGTTTTTGTTTCAATAATATCGTTCAAAAGTTGCCATAAGTGTAGAATTTATTGCATCATAACGATGGGAGGACTAAGCTTGCAATGCTGCCTGGAATACATTTCTTATCCAAAGTTGTTGAATTCCATTCTTACATTCAAGTAACTATGGAATTCAAATTTAAATATTAAGTTTTTATTTAGAAAATGTGTTCATATAACTCATGAACGGATCCATCTAAATTATCCCACTCAAATCATAAAATTGGATTGAGTTAGATTTTATTTTTGTTTGAGTTGGGTAAAATCTTTGAAAAGTCGAAAATATAGTTTGGTTTGGCTTGTAGGTCGACATTTTTTTTTGAGGAGTCAACTTGCAAATAGATTTACAATCCAACTCAACTCTTAAAAAAAATTAAGAATATTTAACGTTTGTAATTGATGTTGGTGATGAGTTGATCCTAAATTTCCACATAAAGTTGCTACTAACGTCTCATGCTCATCTATAATACTAAAATACAACTCTTTCATGAATATCATTTATAACGTAAACTTCGAAAAACGCTTAAAACAACTTCATCTTTGGAAAACATAGTCATAGTCTTAGGTGTTTAAATACGAAATACTGAAATTTAGGGAAGATAGGAGCACTACAAAACAATTTAAAACAATGAAATGCATAATAGCCTATTCTAACATAAACCTAGAAATTTAAATATGAATCCACGCTATGCAAGTGCACAATCTCAGCTTGCAATGTCGCCGTCCTTCGTACAAGTGCGCCTTGCCTTTACCTAAAAAATGATGTGGCACACGGCCTGAGTATTTCGAAGAATACTCAGTAGTGGCCCCACTATAGGGGTCATACAAATGCAGACACATACAATCATGATTTAGGGATCTATCTCTAACATAATATGGGTAGTCTCAAGTCTCGGACAAATTGGATGTGTAGTACTTCCCTACACACGACTCACACGTGTGAGTGTGAATCCCCACGGCGCTCGCACACCCCTTAGACCCTCTAGTCAAGCTAATCTGTAGCGAAGTTCAGAGGTCAACGGAACCCCATAGTGTCATGCGCCTCATGAACACCCTCATCTGTGTGCATTCGCACTCATCATCATACGGTGCGCGTCCGCACTCATCATCTCTAGGGGAAGTAGCCCTATGCTTATGAACATACAATCTACATGATGTCCCTCTAAATCCATCATAATGTCTCTTTTGACACAACCCTCTAGTATCATCTTTTTGTTACTCTAGGTAACACATACTTGTGGATATTTGTATTAATATCGTTTTCATGCTCTTAGGGTTGTGTCCTATATCAATCTAATGACATGATGCTGATGGTGTTAATATAACACATGCGGAAGCAATTTGGATCTTAGGCACTTTTAGAACATCAATTATTGTAAATCACTAGCATGTTCATAAGTATTAAAACTTAATGAGTTTAAATACTAACCTTTTGTAGTTCAAACTCCTTTTGCCTCACGAACCGGTTTCGAACCACCACTAGTGTCTTCTCCACTATCCTCCGGCCTTAGAACGGGATTGTGGAATCCGGTGAGTGACTAAACTTGGGAGGGATTTTGTATATGTGAAAGAGAGTGTTTGTGAGAAGTTTTTCTCAAGGTTTTTCATCAAGATGAAGAATCCCCTCCAAGTATCATGATCACTCTATTTAAAGAGTCAAGTTTGCATGTTCATGCAAACTTGAGATCACCAAATTTTGACACTTAAAATTCCACTCAAGAGTTTGGGATTATGTGGCAAGCATGCATGTTTGAGTTAACCAAATTTTGACACCCAAAATTCCACTCAAACTTGTGGGGTTTATTTGGCAAACATGCAAGTTTGGTTAAACCAAATTTTGACACCTCAAAATTCCACTAACATGGATTTTTCCATTAGATGAAAGTCAACATTTTGACTTTCTTCATTTTAATTCAACAATTAATTTGAATAATGAATTTCAAATTAAAGTAACATTAAATGATTAATTAAACTATTTAATTAATATTTAATATTAATTCAAATGCCAATCCCAATCAATTCCGACACATAATTGATTAAGATATTTAAATCTTATTTAAATATCTCACATTCTCTCTTTTCGTTTAATTCGTAAATAAAACAAAATTGCGGTTAAATATATCGTATATATGTAACGCATATTCCCTAATTTGAATTCGAACACTTCGAACTCACTCGTCACATTGTTCTATGGTTTAGTCCGATATGAGCTAGCAGAGGGACCTAATGGACCTATAGATCATGGGCTCCAACGATCCAAGATTAATCGATTAAACTCATTAACCTGGTTAACCAACATTCGTTAACTACTAGGACACTCCACTATAGCCTAGTAGTTGCACTCCCCTCACTATAGATATATTTCTGTCCATCTGATATAACCATGATTAGTAAGTCGATCCTTCACAGGTTGTTCGTAACTAGAGCTGGGTCAATTTACCGTTTTACCCCTGAAGTTACTTCTTGTTCCTTATGTCTCACTGATCCTCTAATGAACAATTGGTTTGTGGTCCAACCAGTAAACCAAATCCCTCTCAGGCCAATGAGAGGGTGGGGCCCCTTGTTCAAGACCTGGAGTCAGTGCTTAAGGGAACTACCTTTCTTCTATCCCTAAGTGGGTAGGAGTGAATTCCGTCTTGCACCCCACATCCCCAGCCATTCACCCAGTCTTACCCCTGAAATGGGAGGCTTGTTGAGTCGGCGAACTAGAGCCACTCTCACCCATGCAAATCTAAGGATAATTCCGAATAAACAGGAGTTCATGGTTAGCTCAGGATTAAAACCGAGTTACCTAGGTTATCGAATGAAAAGAAAATCAGTCTCAACAGTAAACGACTTTATAAAGTGAGAGTGGTTTTCTTCATGGTCCGATCTTATGCAATACTCATTGCATAGGACGCCCCCACTCACATGTCTCCACATGCACAATTTAGTGATCACATTGTTTATATCATATACAAAAGTGGGCCGCATCCATAGTGTCCCCAGAATAAGGTACTCAGCCTTATCCTTATACTATAGATCATTTTGACTATATACTTGAACTTGATCCACTCTTATGTCTCTACATATAGTTCAAGTAATCATACTATAGCCAGAGTGTTCTTAGTTTATTGGATTTAGATTAATGATCGTAAAGTTCACTTTATTCAATAACAATTTTTACTGAATAAACATCAATAATAACTTTATTGAAAATAGAATATATCTTTGTTTACAAACTATGAGTTTTAGGACATAAAACCCAACAAACTCCCACTTGGACTAAAACTCTAGTTGAGTTTTATAACGTTGAGTAGAGAGAAATACAATAAACTAGGGCATCACATACTGATGCCTTTTCTCCCACTTGCCCTAAATTACATAACTCGTAGTCCTAGACTCACTAGGTGCCCTTCAAACACTTTAGCCGTGAGGGGCTTTGTAAATGGATCAGCAAT